CGCCGAGCCCGTCTCCAGCTCAGCGAGCGTTTTCACTCGGACTTTCCTGTCCTGCGCTTGCACTCTGACAGAGGTGGTGAGTTCTCCTCCGACCTCTTGGCAGCCTACTGTGCTGATCACGGCATTGAGCAGTCGTTCACGCTTCCGGCTTCTCCACAGCAGAATGGGGTTGCGGAGCGCCGCATTGGCCTGGTCATGGAGGTCGCCCGTACCTCCTTGATCCATGCGGCTGCCCCCCACTTTCTGTGGCCGTTTGCGGTCCGGTACGCTGCGCATCAACTCAACCTCTGGCCCCGTGTCTCCTTGCCGGAGACCTCGCCCACGCTACTGTGGACGGGGAAGGTTGGCGATGCGTCGCGTTTCCGGGTCTGGGGGTCTCGAGCTTTTGTCCGCGATTCGTCTGCGGACAAGCTCTCCTCCCGTGCTGTTCCCTGCGTCTTCCTCGGCTTTGTCCCGGACGCGTCTGGTTGGCAGTTTTACCACGCCACCTCGCGCCGAGTCTTGCCCTCCCAGGACGTCACTTTTGACGAGTCCGTCCCCTACTACCGCCTCTTCCCCTACCGCACTGCCCCGCTCCCCCCCCCGCCTCTCTTCCTCTCGCCAGGTGCTGCTGTTGCAGACCCCCTCCCCCCTCAGGGTGCCGCTCCCTCAGGTGTGTCTCAGGTAGACCCGGTTGAGCCTGTTGAGGTAGCTGTCGACTCTCGTCCTGCTGGGGGTGCTGAGCCTGGGGGTGCTGAGCCTGGGGGTGTGGAGCCTGGGGGTGTGGAGCCTGGGGGTGTGGAGCTTGAGGGTGCTGAGCTTGGGGGGGTGGAGCCTCGTGGTACTGAGCTGCGGAGTCCGGAGTCTGGGGGTTCTGCGTCTGGAGGTACGAGGTCTGGGAGTCCTGCACCTGGAGGAGCCCTCTCCTCGGAGCAGCTACGTGCGTGGTACTTAGAGTACTGCAGCCTCCGGAGAGGTACCGCTCGAGCCGGACGTACTACTGGGACTGGTGCTAGTACTTCTTCTCCCGTTCGGGAGCTCCCCTCCCGCGAGCGGATCCGTGAGTGGTACGAGCGGCGCTGCACTCTTCGGAGTGGAGTGCCTCGTGTTACGAACCCCGCTGCTGTTGGAGCTGCTGCTGGTGCTGAGGACCCGGGCGTTGGAGCTGCTGCTGGTGCTGAGGACCCGGGCGTTGGAGCCGCTGCTGGTGCTGAGGACCCGGGCGTTGGAGCTGCTGCTGGTGCTGAGGACCCAGGCGTTGGAGCTACTGCTGGTGCTGAGGACCCGGGCGTTGGAGCTACCGCTGGTGCTGAGGACGTGGACGCTGGAGCTGCTGCTGGTGCTGCCGACCCTGGTGCGGGTGTCCCTGCTGGCTCTGGTGTCGCTGCTCGGTCTCAGCCGTACTTTGTTCCGCTCCTTCAGCAGGTTCTTGGTCAGCTTCCTCCTCCTTTTCCTCCTCCCTCCTTAGAGTGTCCTCAGCCTGTCCAGCTGCAGTCGGCGTTACCGTCTGCCTCCTCTCTCCTTGGTCCTGCTCCTTACACTGGTCCGACTGGAGGTCTTACTGAGCGGCGTGAGCCTGCGTCTCGTCCTGCGTCGCCTGAGTCTCGTCCTGGGTCGCCTGTCCGCACTGCTCTCTCTAGTCATCGAGTCCAGCGTCAGCGTCTTCCTGCTGTCCCAGGCACTCACCGGATGGCGCTTCGTCCGTCCACTGCTCCACAGCGTGTCCCACTGCCGTCTCCTCCTGCTTCCTCTCTTCCTGCTCTTCCTGACCCTGGGTCAGACTCTCTTCGTGCTACCAGTCCTGCTGTCACGCGTCTCCTGGCCACTGTTGTCACTGACCCTTCCTTTGAGTCTGCTGCTGCGTCTGCCTTAGTTGCTGAGCTTGTCGACTTTGCTGCTCGCTGTCGTCTAGACTACGCTGCTAGCCTAGTTGCTGAGTCTGAGTCTGTCTGTCCTCCGTCCGTCGGGGGTGAGTGTGCTCTTGGCACTGACGTCCTTGAGGACAGGCAGGAGGAGTTCCAGTGCTTTGCTGCCGCTTTGCCCCATCTCGTGTCCATGCTTGTTGCCCCTGAGGGAGACCCGGATGCACCAGACATCCCGACCCCACGCTCTTACGCAGAGGCGATGGCCGGTCCCTACTCCTCTCAGTGGCAGTCAGCCATGGACACAGAGATGGCTTCCTGGAAGTCCACAGGCACCTACGTCGACGAGGTTCCCCCGCCTGGGGCGAACATCGTCAGTGGCATGTGGATTTTCAGGGTGAAGCGGCCGCCGGGTTCTCCGCCTGTCTTCAAGGCGCGTTACGTTGCACGAGGCTTCAGTCAGCGCGAGGGAGTTGACTTCTTCCAGACCTTCTCCCCGACCCCGAAGATGACCACTCTTCGGGTTCTGCTGCACGTCGCCGCTCAGCGTGACTACGAGCTCCACTCGCTTGACTTCAGCACTGCTTTCCTGCAGGGCAGCCTGCACGAGGAGATCTGGCTGCGCCGTCCACCTGGCTTCACTGGGTCGTTCCCTCCTGGTACCCAGTGGAGCCTCCGACGGCCAGTCTACGGTCTCCGCCAGGCGCCTCGTGAGTGGCACGACACACTGAGGACTACGCTTGCGGCTCTTGGGTTCGCGCCTTCTACTGCTGACCCGTCGCTGTTTCTACGCACCGACACCTCACTGCCGCCGTTCTACGTCCTTGTGTACGTCGACGACTTGGTTTTTGCTACTGCTGACACTGTGGCACTCGCCCACGTGAAGTCGGAGCTGCAGAAGAGACACACGTGCACAGACCTGGGTGAACTGACAAGCTATCTTGGCTTGCGGATCACCCGGGACAGAGCACGCCGCACCATCACCTTGACTCAGTCACACATGGTGCAGCAGGTCCTTCAGCGCTTCCGCTTCACGTACTCCTCGCCTCAGCCCACTCCTCTGCCTACCGGTCACTCGCTCTCAGCTCTGCCTTCGGATGAGTCCGTAGAGCCGAGTGGCCCGTATCCAGAGCTTGTGGGTTGCCTCATGTACCTGATGACCTGCACTCGACCAGACCTTGCATACCCTCTCAGCATTCTTGCACGCTATGTCGCTCCCGGCCGTCACCGGAAGGAGCACATGGATGCAGCTAAGAGGGTGTTGCGCTACTTGTGCAGTACGTCGGGCATGGGGCTAGTGCTTGGAGGGCGAGTCCCAGTTATTCTCACTGGACACTCAGACGCTTCTTGGGCAGACGACCAGGCTACTCAGCGGTCGTCTCAGGGTTACTCCTTCAGTCTTGGCTCTGGTTCTGTTTCTTGGCGTTCTACTCGCTCTTCTTCTGTTCTCAGCTCCAGTTGTGAGGCTGAGATCTACGCCACAGCCATGGCGGCCCAGGAGCTACGCTGGCTCACCTACTTGCTGACCGACCTTGGAGAGCAGCCTCGTTCTCCTCCAGTGCTGTACGTCGACAACAAGGCAGCCATTGCCTTGTGTGAGGAGCACAGACTGGAGCACAGAACGAAGCACATTGCTCTGCGTTACTTCCTCGCTCGAGAGCTGCAGCAGCGTGGTCAGCTTCGCCTGCGTTACGTGGCCTCTGAGGCCAACACTGCTGATGTGTTCACCAAGGCGCTTCAGCCTTGTGACCATCAGCGCTTTTGCACTCTTCTAGGCCTTGTGCCTACTGGACCTCACTTGCTTACTTCTTGAGTCTGTTGTACTGTGATCTCTATATATAAACCTGCATGTGAACTGGTCTTGTGACCACTTGCTTGTGCTCGGAATTTGTGTGGTATCCTTGAGATCCACCCTGAGCTTGTTTTGCCTTGCTTTGCCTTGACTGGTCTTGTGACCCCTAGTTCTCCCCCACTTTGCCTATGGGGGTGTGTCAAACATTATATATGTTGTGTTAGTTTAGGCTACAGTGGGTTAGCCTATAGGGGGTACACAATTCTAGGGTTAGGTACTTGTACTCTTTTCATTGCTAGTTCATTCATTCCTGTTCAGTGATTCCAACATCAAGTTGCGAAATACTACTAGCTCTCGAAGAGCCAAATTATGTGACTCACCCTCGGCCCGGTGTTACGTAGGTGTCAGAATGTGATGTTTGTCTAGCCTGCAGTTGGGTACTCTATAGCGAGTACAGCCCGAATTAGGGTTTGCTATATGTACTCAACTGCATGCTAGTGAAAACCCTCTTTCCTGTTTCTCGTTTTCGCCTGCTGTTACGACAGTAGGCACACTCTGCGTGGCAGACGAGCGCCCCCGATGGTGTCGAGACTTCCATGGTGTCTAAATATTCCATCATGGAGTCCAAACTACATATGTTCGGTCACGGTTAGAACCGCCGTGACCTAGTAGCCATCTCGTCTCCCTACGAGGCCGGTTGTAGCAGCACATCGGATTGCCGGTGACACGTAATGCGAGTGATCGCCACTTCAACCACTCGGCGCCGAGAGACCCGTACTAACAGACGGTGCTCTCCGAAAGACAAGCCGTAGCGCAATAACGTGGCGGTAAATGGCGATGGCTCGGCGAAGGGCTTGCCAACCAAGAAGACGAGTCCGTCCGTGCTAAAGGCAACTGGGGTTTTTACAGTTACTACCGAAAGACAGTTACTTTCAAAAGTGTGCTTGTCGTCGCGGAATGCCCAAAATCAGCACTGAAATGGTGTTGGTTGGGCGAAAAGCGGGATCAGGCCGCGATGAAGCTGATCGCTTGTCACCCAACTTTGCGATCTTGTTTCCGGAATTCTGTCTGTGCTCGCCCCACACCTTCGTTCCCTTGTAAACACCCTCGCTATGTGCGACTGAGTTGTGTCTGTTGCTACATAGATTCTAATCAATAAAACATGGGGCCTCATGAATGGAATATCGAATAATAACGGAGCAGCCACAAAACGAAGACCAATGACCATAAAGCAAGGGTTTCCACGTTGTACAGTACACGTACCAACAATCCAGCGCTGCTTTTGGAAGCATGAAGAGTCTTTCTCGTTGCTTCTCGTTGAAAGGGTGTCAAAGAGTTAAAAGTCTAGGCATCATTGGGTCCAGGTTATGGCGGCCCGGCGAGTCCCCGCTTCCGTCGCCGCACTTGCCGCCGCAAATTTCGCAGGCTTCGCGTCCGCGATCGCCATCCTCGTCCTCTCGCGGCCGCTCCACTCGCTTCCCGCCGTCCTCCATGCCTTCCTCCTCCGCATCCTGCGCCGCATCTCACGCAGCCTACTCCCTAGTCGAGCTGGCTCCAGATTACCCCATAACACGCCATCCGTCCTCTCGTTGTCTTTCGAGACGTCTTTAGTCTCGTTGCTCCCCTTATCGACCAATCAAAATGCACCGCCCGCGCCTCAATGCCGCCTCAATTTAGACGGCTGCGATTCTCTCCTCGGCGTCGCTCCCCTCGATATCGACGGCTTCAAAGCGCCCCCAGGAGCAGACGCGACTTGCTGTGCGACTGGCCGTGCGATCCCTACGACCGACCGTGCGATCCCTGCGACTGGCATGGAGCCCACGTCGCACAATCGCGACGGGCCAAGAGCTGCGATCGACCGGCGTGAGAGCCACGAAGCTTCGCGGAAGGGCGGCGACGGGCTGGTAGCGGCGATCGGCAACACGCCGCTGATTCGCATCGCGAGTCTGTCCGCCGCGACCGGCTGCGAGATCTACGGCAAGGCGGAGTTTGTCAACCCGGGTGGCAGCGTCAAAGACCGCGTGGCGCTACGGATCGTGCAGGAGGTGAGTGGGGAGTGCTGGGAGTGCTGCGAGTGCGGGGAGTGCGGGGAGTGCGGGGAGTGCTGGGAGTGCGGGGAGTGCGGGGAGTGCTGGGAGTGCGGGGAGTGCTGGTGCGGGGAGTGCTGGGAGTGCGGGGAGTTGCGTGGTGTATCAAGGAGTGTGGGTGCGCGAGGTGCAAACATGGATGGATGTGGAGAGTGGGTGTGGTGGAGCATCGAGATATACGGCAAGGCGGAGTTCGTCAACCCGGGCGGCAGCGTTAAAGACTGCGTGGCGCTGCGGATCGTGCAGGAGGTACGTGAAGTGCGGGGAGTGTGAGGTGTAGCAAGAAGTGTGGGTGCGCGCGCGAGGTGCATGCATGGATGTGGTGAATGGGTGTGGGGAATCGAGGGCGAGGCGGCGTCAAAGACCGCGCGGCGTTACGGATCGTGCAGGAGGTAACCATTCCGCACTATGTAGAACGCGTTGCGGTCCCTAGTAAAGACGGCGATCGCTGCACTGCACTCGTCACGTGGCAGGCCAGGCTGGCAGCACTCTCGCTTTTGTCCTCCTGAGTCCTGACACGTGACGTGACGAGTGCAGTGCAGGAAAGCAGGTGACGCTTGGCGCACCTGCGCACCTGCCCACCTCCTTCACCTGCTGCCACGAGTGCAGCACAGGAAAGCAGGTGACGTGACGCTTGACGCAAGGGGTGACTTAACTACACCTTTTTCCTGTCTTTCCCTTCTTTTCCTCCCCATTCACTCGCCAGGCTCTCGAGTCCGGGCAGTTGAAACCTGGAGGGCTGGTAACGGAGGGCAGTGCGGGCAGCACAGGTGTCGCGCTCGCATTGGTCGCCGCGGCGTTTGGCTGCCGCTGCTTCGTGGCGATGCCAGACGATGCTGCTGTGGAGAAGGCAGAGGCAATGAGGGCACTGGGGGCAGAGGTGAGTTTTCTGCTCAAAGGTTTCGGGTTTTAAGGTTCAGGGTTTCGGTCGATGCCAGACGACGCTGCTGTGGAGAAGGCAGAGGCGATGAGAGCTTTGGGTGCAGAGGTGGGTGCCTTGCATCAGTGTCTTTATACCTTAGGGTTCAGGGTTTGTATGTCTAGGCTAGGCTGATGTTGCTTCGTGGCAATGCCAGACGATGCTGCTGTGGAGAAGGTTGAAGCAACGAGAGCTCTGGGTGCCAAGGGGGAGATTGGTTTAGGGTCTGTATAACTACGCTGCCGCTGCTTTGTGGCGATGCCGGACGACGCTGCTGCGGAGAAGGCCGAAGCAATGAGAGAGCATTGGATGCAGAGGTGGGTGGGAGCTTTTTTGCTTTGAAGTTTCAGGTTTCAGGGTTTAGGGTGGCGTTTGGCTGCCGCTGCTTCGTGGCGATGCCGTACGACGCTGCTGTGGAGAAGGAAGGCCGAAGCAATGAGGGCACTGGGCGCCGAGGTGAGGGTTTAGGGTTTGGATGATGTCCTGCAATGCAATGCAGCACGTGTATGACTATCCGGCCGCTGCTTCGTGGCGACGCCGGACGACGCTGCTGTGGAGAAGGCCGAAGCGATGAGAGCTCTAAATGCCGAGGTGGGTGTTTTATTCTAGAAATTCTTGTCAGAGGTTCAGGGTTCAGGGATTAGGGCGATGCGTTCCTGCAATGGCAATGCAGGTTCTGTAATGTCTAGACAATGCAGGTTGCTGCTTTGTGGCGATGCCGGACGACGCTGCTGTTGTGGAGAAGGAAGGCCGAAGCAATGAGAGCAATGAGGGCAGAATTGAGTTTTTGCTAAGAAATTTTGGGTTTAGGCTCAAAGTCCCCCCCCCCCCCTTGGCGACTCAAAGTCCCCCCCCCCTTGGCGACTCGAAGCCCCCCCCCCCCCCCCTTGGCGACTCGAAGCCCCCCCCCCCCCCCTTGGCGACTCAAGTTCCCCCCCCTCTTCCCCTTGTGACTCAAAGTCCCCCCCCCCCTTGGCGACTCAAAGTCCCCCTCTCCCCTTGGCGACTCAAAGTCCCCCCCCCCCTTGGCGACTCAAAGTCCCCCCCCTCCCTCCTTGCGACTCAAAGTCCCCCCCCCCTTGGCGACTCAAATCCCCCCTCTCCCCCCTTGCGACTCAAAGTCTCTCCCCTCTCGCGCCACAAACTCTCCCCCCCCTCGCGACTCAATTTCCCTCCCCCTCTCCCCCCTCCCCCTTGCACTTTCCCCCCCTCTCAGGTGGCGCGTGTGCGCCCTGTGTCCATCACCCACCCCATGCACTTTGTCAACGTTGCAAGGCGGCGAGCCGAGGAGGCCAGGGGGGAGGGAGAGGCGAACAGGGGAGGCGAGGAGGAGGAGGAGGTGGAGGAGGTGGAGGAGGTGGAGGAGGTGGAGGAGGTGGAGGAGGTGGAGGAGGTGGAGGAGGTGGAGGAGGTGGAGGAGAGGGGAAAGCAGGGAGGGGTGGCGGTGGGCAAGGAGGGTGCGACAGAGCGGAGAGGAGGCGAGATGGGGGAGATGGGAAAGCGGTTGGGAGTGGTGGTGGGAGAGGTGGGTGCGGCAGAGAGGAGAGGGGGCGAGGAGGTGGGAGTGCAAGGGGGAGGGGCAAGAAGTGGGGAGACTTTGATGAGTGAGAGCAGTTGTAGGTATTCCTGTCGCTGCCTTCCTTTCCCCCACATACACCTACTCACACACACCCACACACGCACACACACGCACGCACGCACGCACGCACGCACGCACACACACACACACACACACACACACACACACACACACACACACACACACACACACACACACACACACACACACACACACACACACACACCTACAGACACCGACAGTGACACAAAGTCTCGCCTGCCTGTCTTGTCTACTTGTTCCTTGTGCAATATCTAGACGACTTTTGAAACGCAAGTTTATCGCCTGCTCAAATGTAACAAGTAGACAAGACTGATTCTTGTCCGTCCTCCTCCCCTTTCTCACCCCCCTTCTCTCCCCTCTTCTTCGACCCAGCGGCAGCGGCAGTGGCAGCAGCAGCTGCAGTGTCAGGAACACGGACAGTACATGCTGCAATGGCAGCATGGGTTTTAGAACTGCTGCCAACACCAGCCCCCTTAGCTGCAGCACCAGCATTGGTGCCAGCTGCGCAGAGTTAGATTCCGCCTGCACCACAGATTGCAACAGTGCCTCGTCTGTTGACCGTTTTGACTCCTTGGCCAATCATTCTGTGCCAGGTGGCAGCACCAGCAGCAGCACCACCACCACCATCACCACCACCAACACTAGAAGCAGCAGCGGGTTTTTTCGCGGACTAGTTTGAGAATCTGGCCAACTACCGAGCGCACTACTGTGGCACAGGGCCGGAGATCTGGACGCAGACGGGCGGCGCAGTGGATGCCTTTGTGGCCGCTGCTGGCACGGGGGGCACCATTGCCGGTGTCTCATGCTACTTGAAGGTGAGCGGTTGTGAGCGGTTACGAGTGGTTGTGAGTGGGTGTGAGTGACTGTGAGCTGTGAGGGGAGTGGCTGAATCCGGCCAACTACCGAGCGCACTACTGTGGCACAGGCCCGGAGATCTGGAGGCAGACGGGCGGTGCAGTGGATGCCTTTGTGGCCGCTGCTGGCACGGGGGGAACCATTGCTGAGATCTCCTGTTATTTGAAGGTGAGTGGCTGTGAGTGGCTGTGAGATAGGCTGGAGCGGGGCTGGATAGTGACGGGAATGGCTGCGAGTGGTTGTGCACGCGTTTGTGGCCTCTGGCTGCTGCTCTGCTGGCACTGGGGGCACCATCGCTGGGGTATTGTGCTATTGGTGCGCACCTGAAGGTGCGCTATTGGTGCGTGAAGAAAGTGAGCGGTCAAGGCCCCCGAGATCTGAAGGCAGACGGGCGGCACAGTGGACGCTTTTGTGGCTGCTGCTGGCACTGGCTGGCTGCACTGTTGCTGCGGTTTCATGCTATTTGAAGTGTCGTGTGCCACTGTAACGAGGTGACTTTTGAGTCGACTCAAAAGTCACTGGTGTGAAGATTGTGAATTGAACAAGTCATTAGATTAGAGGAACAACCTAGCATACATAGTTGGAAGGGAAAGTTGGAAGGGAAGGATGAAAGTGACCATAGGTTGGGTTGACCTCACTTGGGGAAGTGAGGGAACCATAGGTCAAGTGGGTTGGGTTGCCCACACTTTGTAGAAGTGAGGCAACCCTAGGCCCACTTGGCTTGGGGTAACCTCAATTGTGGGAAGTGAGGTACCCACAAGTCAAGAGGGTTGCATTTGGGGGCTCCACCACAATTGGGTGGATTGGCACCCCAAAGTGCAAGACTACACCCAAAGTTGGGTGTAGTCCCAACCCAACTGTACACCACAATTGGTGTACAGTCACATGTGTTGGCATGCTACACAATATATATTTTAACACAACCCCTTAGCATGCTAACACAAGAAGAGAACAACCCCTGAATCAAGGGGCGCCCGGGCGAGCAAGGCCAATGAGGCGGAGGAAGGCAGAGTGCGCGGGGCGAAGGAGGGCCTTAGTGAAGATGTCGGCCAAGTTGGCCTCGGTTGCAATCTTGCGAACGGCAATGAGGCCCTTCTGGACGAGCTCGCGAACGAAGAAGTAGCGGAGTTCGATGTGCTTGGAGCGGGCGTGATAGACGGGGTCCTGAGTGAGATGGATGGTGCTGGCGTTGTCGCACCAAAGAGTGGGGCACGTCTGGGGGGCGCCAAGCTCCGCAAGAAGGAAGCAGAGCCAGCGCGACTCCTGGGCGGCCATGGTGCCAGCGTAGAGCTCGGCTTCGCAGGTGGAGAGAGAGATGGCGGAGGAGCGGGTGGAGCGCCAGCTGATGAGGCCGCTGCCAAGGGTGAAGCCGTAGCCCTGGGAGGAGCGGCGGTCCGGCTGCGTGTCAGCCCATGAGGAGTCACTGAAGCCCGAGAGAAGGGGACGGGAAGGGCCGCCGAGGGTGAGGGCAAGGTCCCTGGTCCCGCGAAGGTAGCGGAGGACCCGCTTGGCAGCTTTCCAGTGCTCCTCAGAGTGACGACCGGTGCCGACAAAGCGAGCGAGCACGCTGATGGGGTAGGCGAGGTCGGGGCGGGTGCACATCATTGCGTACATCAAGGACCCAACGAGCTCGGCATAGGGGTGGGGGGAGGAGGTGGGGGAGGTGGGTGGAGCGAGTTGGTGACCGAAGGGGAGCGGGGTGGAAACAGGCTTGGCTTGCGCCATGTCGAACTTCTCCAAGACCTGGCCGATGTAATGGGACTGGGAGAGGGTGATTGTGCGAGCAGGGCGGTTGCGCGTGATGGTCATGCCGAGGTAGTGAGTGAGGGCGCCAAGGTCTTTGCACTTGAGCCGCTGCTGCAGGGACAGCTTCACCTGCCCCATGTCGGCCTTGGTGTCAGAGAGCAGGATCATGTCGTCGACATATACCAGAATGAAGAAGCGGCGGGGGGAGGAGCGGATGAAGAGGCTGGCGTCGGAGTGGGAAGCAGAGAAGCCGAGGGACCCCAAGGTGGCAGCCAGCTTCGCATGCCACTCACGCGGTGCCTGCTTCAAGCCGTAGACGGGGCGACGCAGCTGCCAGACAGTGTTCTCAGGAAAGGCTGCGTGGAACCCGGGGGGTCGCCGGAGGAAAATGCGCTCATGCAGGTCGCCCTGCAGGAACGCATTGGAGACGTCCATGGAGTCGATTTCCATGTCGTCACGTGCACCAATGTCCATGGCGGCGCGAAGGGTGGGTGGTTTGGCGGTGGGGGCGTAGGTGAACCAGTAGTCCTCAGCCCAAGTCTGCGTGAACCCCTTGGCGCAGTAGCGGGCCTTGTACACTGGTTCCTCGCCCGGCAGCTGCTTCACCCGAAAGACCCATTTGCCGTCAACGAGATTAGCGCCAGCAGGGAGGGGGACATCGACAAAGGAGTCATTGCGAATGAAAGCCTCACACTCCAGGAAGATCGCTGCTATCCATTTATCCGCATCAGGGCAGGTGATGGCTTCCTGGAAGGTGGAGGGAGTGAAGATGGTGGGGGTAGTAGTGGCGCCAAGGACAGGAAAGCCCAGGAAGTCAAGGTAGAGGGCGGCAAGGAATGGAGTGTGCTCCCGAATGTTAAGAAACTCCTCATGGGAGTCCTCAAGGAGCTGAATGGAGGCAGGAGGAGGAGCCCCAAGGATTTTGTCCAGCGAGCGGGTATGGATGTAAGGGAGGAGGAAGGGGGAGGAGCGGGAAGTGGCACGGCGCCGCTGCTGCTGCTGATGCTGCTGCTGCTGCTGCTGTCCCGGCTGCTGCTGATGCGGCTGCCCCGGCTGCTGCTGCTGCTGCTCCGGCTGCTGCTGCTGCTGCTGCTGCTGCTGCTGCCCCGGCTGCTGCTGCTGCTGCCCCTGCTGCCGTTGCTGGTGTTGCTCCCGCTGCTGCTGCTGCTGCTGCTGCTGCTGCTGCCCCGGCTGCTGTCCCGGTTGCTGCTGCTGCTGCTGTTGCTGCTGCTGCTGCTGATCCGGCTGCTGGAAGGAGGGAGAGGGAGAGGAGGAGGGAGGGGGGGGGAGGGGGTGCGGCCGAGTGAGCGGGGGAAGCGGGTGCGGCAGGGTCGTAGACATCGGCGGAGGAGGAGGGCGGGAGCGGAGCTGCGGCGGGTGGGAGGAGAGGGGCTGGAGGGAGAAGGGGCGGGAGGACGGTGTCGGTCCAAGCAAGGGGACGAGTGGGAGGAGGGAGAGGATCAGGGGGAGGAGTGGAGTAATAGGGGACGGATTCGTTGAAGACGACGTCGCCGCTGCGGATGAGGCGATTGGTGGGAGGGTGGAGGAAGAGGTAGCCTGGGGAGTCGCGATTGTGCCCAAGGTAAACGCATTCCAGGGCGCGAGGAGCAAGCTTGCCAGCGGCGCGGGAGCGGTCGGCGGGTGGGATGAGAACGAAGGCCTTGCAGCCCCAAACGCGAAGGCCGGCAGCGTCGGGTTTGGCGTTGGACCAAAGCTCTGTAGGGGAGGAGGAAGGATGCTGAGGGTGGGAGCGGAGATTAAGGAGAAGAGCGGCGTGGAGGAGGGCATAGCTCCAGAGGGAAGGAGGGGTGGAGGCATGAGCAATGAGACAGCGAGCTATCTTGGTGATCTCACGAATGCGGCTCTCAGCAATGCCGTTCTGCTGAGGGGAGTGGGGAAGGGTGGAGGTCTGTTGGATGCCGTAGGTGTTGTAGTATGTGGCAAGGGTGTTATTGATGAACTCACCCCCACCGTCAGAGTGAAGGCGGCCGATGGGGCGTTTGAAGTGATTGCGGCACTGTTCGGCCCAGTTGATGACCACTGCCGGCACCTGGTCTTTCGTGTGAAGGAAGAAGGTGGTGGAGTACCGGCTGTGGTCGTCAACGAGGACGAGCATGTACCGATGCCCCAGGCGGGAGCGGATGGGATAGGGGCCCCAGAGGTCCATGTGCACAAGGTCAATGGGGGCGGCGGCGAAGGTGGGATGACTGTGGTGGGGGGACTGTTTGAGCTTGCCGTGAATGCATGAAGGGCATGGGGGAGAGGGGGAGGAGGGGAGGGGAGGTAAAACAGGAGGAAGGCTGCGGAGGAGGCGAGAGGTGACTGTGGTGCGAAGGGCGGTGAAGTTGGGATGGCCGAGTCTATGGTGTAAGAGGACAGCAGGGTGGGAGAGGGTAGTGGAGGAGGAGGGAGATGGGGTGATGGAAGGAACGGGAGGGGAGGAGGAGGATGGTGGGGAGGGAGAAGAGGATACTTGAGGGGGAGGGGAAGGGGGAAGTAAAGGAGGAGGAGGTGGACCGGTGGAAGCACCGGAACGAGTGGTGACGTGGCAGAAGGATGGGCGAGGCGTGCGGAGTGTGTAGAGGCGAGTGCGGGGGCAAAGCGGAATGCGGAGAAGGAAGCGACCGGAGGAGGTTTGGTAGAGATCACAGTAATTGGCATAACCGGGGTAAATGGCAGTGATACCAACACCTTGGAGCTCACGGTGGGAGAGGAGGTTGTTGCGGAGAGTGGGGATGTGGAGACCTGTGACCTTACCGGAGGGGAAGGCAGTGCAAGGGAGGGTGGAGAGGTGAGTGCATGGAATGGAAAAGCTGGAATCAGCCCCATGAACCTGAGTGGGAAGTGGTAGTGGGGTGAGAGTGCCAGCGTCTTTCAGTGCGGTTTCAGTGGCTCCACTGTCAAGGACAAAGTCCAGGGTGGGAGAAGAGGGAGGAGGGGGTGGGACGGGGTACTGAAACGAAGTCTCATTGATAGCAGAGGGATACATGGCAGCGACGGACGGTGCAACACTGATATTACCAAGGAAACTACCAGAAGTGTCAGGAACACTGGGGGGGGCAGAGGGGAGGGAACCCCAGGGGGGAGGAGGAGGAAGGGAGGTATGAGCGGCCATGGCCGCTGTGCCGAAGGTGAGTGGCTGCTGCTGCCAGGGTGGGGGAAGGAACTGCTGCTGCTGCTGCGGCGGTGGCCGGAAGAACTGCGGCGGCGGCGGCTGCTGGGGCTGGAGAAACTGCGGCTGCTGCTGCTGCTGGTGGAAGTACAGGTGCTGCTGCTGCTGGTGCTGCTGAAACTGCTGCAGCTGTGAGGGTGGGGAGGGGGTAACCATGCGGAGGTGAGCAGGAAGGAAAGAGGGGAGGGTTTGAATATCCACTAAGGAGGGGCGAGGTGTGACCGAGTTCCAGCAAGGAGGGGTGCCAGTGTTGCCGCGATCAAACCAGGCGTCGTCGAGTGCCTTAAAGCACGTGGTGGGGGGATGGTTGGTCTGGCCGCAAGGGGTACCTGCATGGGGACCATGGGCACATATGTGCATGGGAGGAGAGTGCCAGGGAGTCCGCCTCGAGTCACAGCACCTCCAGCAGGGGCGCTGCCAGCACCACCACCACCGCCACCACGGCCACCACGGCCACCACTACCACCACCGCCACCACCACGGCCTCCACCACCACCACCGCCACCCGCTCCACGGCCTCCCCGCCGCCGCTGCGACCACCCTGGTTGCGCGGCTGCGTAGCGTTGAGGGAGGTGGAGGAGGAGGACTGAGGGGTGGTAAGGTTGACAACGGGGGTGCGGAGCTTGACCTCCGTGTCAATGATCCACTGGACCACGTCGTCGAGGCCGGCCATGGGGTTGGCCTCAGTGAAGGCATGGAGGCGGGACTCGTAGTCCGGGGTGAGGTTGTAGAGGAGGCGGTGGATTTGCAGGGGCTCGGGGAGGGCAGCTTGGCGTACCGCAAGGCGATCAGCGACCTCCTGCATGCGCCCCACGTAGTCAACTGCGCCATCACAAGTGGCGAGGGTGATGGAGAAGTACTCCTGGAACAGGGCGCCGACAGAGCTGATGTCGCGACGCTCGAACATGGCCTGGAGCTCGGCCCAGATGAGGGAGGCGCGCATCTCTCTCGCTTGGAAACGGCGCATGAGGGTATCAGGGAGTGCGCTGAGGAGGATGGTGCAGGCGCGGTTGTCAGCAGTGGCCCATGCGATGCTCCGAGGGAGGTAGTCCGCCATGGCCGTATTGTACTCATCAAGGAGCGCCAGGCGATTGGCGCGTTCCGCTACCGCGAAGTCGTGGTTATGTACCGCAACCTCATGCTCCGCCTTGCGAATGAGGTATTCGCGGCGATCGTGGAGAAATGCGGCATCGGCGGCATCTTGGAGCGCTGGGGTAGTGGCGATCTCCAAGGTGGGTTCAGGAGGAGGAGGACCAGGAGGAATGGAGGGTGGAGGGGGTTCGCCGGGGTGATTGGGTGCCGTGGGCTGGAGGGCTTGCGGGCGGCGGAGGAGGACGTCAAGGACGCAGTAGGGTCCGACGAATGCATCTTGGAGAACACGGCGGATGCTCCTGACGAAGGAATGCCAGTTGATCGCCGAGCGGTCCGCGGCAAGCTGAAGCTTGTCGACGGAGGAGGCGTCAATGGGAGGGGGGAGAGGGGGAGGAGTGGTAGCCATGAGGGGCGACGGCGGGTGGACCCGCGGTGGCCTTGAGGTGGACGGCGGCGGGTGGACCCGCGGCGGTCAAGTGGGAGGGCGACGGCGGGTGGACCCGCGGTAGCCGAGAGGGAGGAGGGGGGGGGGGGGGGGGGGGGGAGGGGGGGGGGTGCTGCTGCGGGGAGTGGAGTTCTTCTCCGGTTGCTGCTGCTGCTGCCGCTGCTGCCGCTGCTGCCGCTGCTGCCGCTGCTGCTGCTGAGAGGGAGGAGGGGGGGGGGGAGGGGAGGAGGGGGAGGAAGATGGTGGATGCAGCTGCTGCCGCTGCTGTCGCTGCTCCTGATGCTGCCGCTGCTGCCGCTGTTGCTGCTGTGGCTGCTGAGCTGTCCCGGCTGCTGCTGCGTGGGAGGAGAGGAGGAGGAAAGGGGGAGGGGGGAGGGAGAACGCAGGTGTAGCTGTGGGCGAAGCTGTTGCTGCGGGATGAGGCGGCTGCTACGAGGAACGTGCGGCGGCGGGATGCGCGGGTGGCGACGAGGGAATCGTGGCGGCGGAATGAGCGAGCGGCGACGAGGAGGGCGCGGCGGAGGGATGCGCGGGCGGCGACGGGGAAGGCGCGGCGGTGGGATGCGCGGGCGGCGACGAGGAAGGCGCGGCGGCGGGATGCGCGGGCGGCGACGAGCAGGTCGCGGCGGTAGGATGCGGGGGCGGCGATTGTTAGGTCGCGGCGACGGGATGTGCGGGCGGCGACGAGCAGGTCGCGGCAGGAGGTCGCGCGGGCGGCGACTTTAGGTCGCGGCGGCAAGGGGTGCAGGCGGCGACGAGAAGGTCGCGGCGGCAAGGGGTGCAGGCGGCGACGAGAAGGTCGCGGCGGCGGGATGCGCAGGCGGCGACGCGAAGTCGCGGCGGCGGGTCGTGCAGGCGGCGACGCGAAGTCGCGGCGGCGGGTCGTGCAGGCGGCGACGCGAAGTCGCGGCGGCGGATCGTGCAGGCGGCGACGAGCGGGTCGCGGCGGCGGGATGCGTAGGCGGCGACGGGGGGTCGCGGCGATGGGGAGTGCAGGCGGCGACGCGAAGTCGCGGCGGCGGGACAGGAGGCGACGACGGGGCGTCGCGGCGGCGGGATGCGCAGGCGGCGCCGAGGAAGGCGCGGCGGCGGTGGGGGGAGGCGGCGACGCGACGTCGCGGCAGCGGGAGGGGCAGGCGACGACGAGGCGTCGCGGCAGAGGGATGCGCGGGCGACGCCGAAGTAGGCGCGGCGGCGGGAGGGAGACGGCGACGGGGGGTCGCGGCAGGGGGAGGAGGAGGCGGCGACGAGGCGTCGCGGCGGGATGTGCAGGCGGCGCCAGAGAAGGCGCGGCGGCGGAAAAAAGGGGGAGGGGGGGGGGGGGGGGCAGCGACGGTGTGTCGCGGCGACGGGGGGCGGTGATGCACTCGCGGCGGTGGGATCCGCAGGCGAGGAGGGCGCAGTCACGGCGGAGGGAGGGGAGGGCGGCGACGACGTAGGTCGTGCCAAGGAGATGCTAGGTTGAGCCACACGTAGGGGGTTTGTGGCTGTGGGGTGGGCCCATGGGGAAGAAAAAACTTTGAGGGAGGGAGAGAAAAAGGCTTAGGAACAACTAGCTCTATACCATGTGAAGATTGTGAATTGAACAAGTCATTAGATTAGAGGAACAACCTAGCATACATAGTTGGAAGGGAAGGTTGGAAGGGAAGGATGAAAGTGACCATAGGTTGGGTTGACCTCACTTGGGGAAGTGAGGGAACCATAGGTCAAGTGGGTTGGGTTGCCCACACTTTGCAGAAGTGAGGCAACCCTAGGCCCACTTGGCTTGGGGTAACCTCAATTGTGGGAAGTGAGGTACCCACAAGTCAAGAGGGTTGCATTTGGGGGCTCCACCACAATTGGGTGGATTGGCACCCCAAAGTGCAAGACTACACCCAAAGTTGGGTGTAGTCCCAACCCAACTGTACACCACAATTGGTGTACAGTCACATGTGTTGGCATGCTACACAATATATATTTTAACAACTGGCTGCAGTATTGCCAGGGTTTCTTGCTATTTGAAGGTGAGAGTGATGGGCTGAAGGTGGGGTGAAGTGAAGTGGAGGTGGGTGGATAGGAAAGGGAGTGGTTGTGAGTGGGAGTGGATGGGTTTATGTCCGCTGCTGGCACTGGCGGCAGCACTATTGCTGGGGTGTCATGCTACCTCAAGGTGAGTGGTTGTAAGTGGCGCTGTGTGGTTGTGTGTGGTTATGAGGTGGGCAGGCGGCACAGTGCATGCGTTTGTGGGTGCTGCTGGCACGGGGTGGGGGGGACCATCGCTGGGGTCTCGTGTTATTTGAAGGTGTGTGGCTGTTGTGAGGGGGGCGGAGCTGGGCTGGAATGCGGGTGGAGTAGCAAGGAGCTGCTGTGAGTGACGGTGAGTGGTTGTGAGTGGCTGTGAGTGGCTGTGAGTGGCTGGGAGTGGCTGGGAGTGGCTGGGAGTGACTGGGAGTGGCTGGGAGTGGCTGGGAGTGGCTGGGAGTGGCTGGGAGTGGCTGGGAGTGGCTGGGAGTGGCTGGGAGTGGCTGGGAGTGATGTACCCTCGGAGGGGGAAGCTGCTGCCAGTCAAAGGAAGACTGACCTCTTGCCCCTTTTCTTGCTCCTGCTCCTACTGCTATCCAGGACCAGAAGAATCCAGCCATGAATGACTTTCTCATCGACCTTCATGTAAACCGTTACCCGCGGACGGAGTGCTGTACCCTCAGCAGGAGGCGGAGGGAAAACGGTTGCCAGTCTAAGAAAGACTGACCTTTTACTTCCTCCTCTCACTTCCTATCCTGCTCCCACTCCACTGCAGGAGCAGAACCCGAGAATAAAGACCTTTCTTATAGACCCTCCCGGGTCAAGTCTCTTCCACAAGGTCACACGCGGAGTGCTGTACACCCGGCAGGAGGCGGAGGGGAAGCGGCTGCGCAACCCATTCGATACGATCACAGAGGGCATTGGCATCAACCGCCTGCGCAGCCCCATCGCCTTGCCTTCTGATACTCGCTTTCCCTTCAATGCAACCTTCCCCTCTCGTACTTACTCTCCTTTCCTTTCCTGTCCCACTGCACTGCAGGACCAGAATCCTGAAGTTAAGGTCTTTCTCATTGACCCACCGGGGTCAAGCTTGTTCCACAAGGTGACCCGCGGAGTGCTGTACACTCGGCAGGAGGCGGAGGGGAGGCGCCTGCGCAACCCATTTGACACGATCACAGAGGGCATTGGCATCAACCGCCTGACGGCTAATTTCAACGCTGCGAGGATCGATGGCGCGTTCAGAGGGACGGACAGGGAGGCCGTGGAGATGGCGCGGTGAGTTTCTTGTCGCAATACAAACCCCTAGACACGGCTGGCTGGCTGGCTGGCTGCTGTCTTCAACGCTGCGAGGATCGATGGGGCGTTCAGAGGGACGGACAGGGAGGCCGTGGAGATGGCGCGGTGAGTTTCTTGTCGCAATACAAACCCCTAGACACGGCTGGCTGGCTGGCTGGCTGCTGTCTTCAACGCTGCGAGGATCGATGGGGCGTTCAGAGGGACGGACAGGGAGGCCGTGGAGATGGCGCGGTGAGTTTCTTGTCGCAATACAAACCCCTAGACACGGCTGGCTGGCTGGCTGGCTGCTGTCTTCAACGCTGCGAGGATCGATGGGGCGTTCAGAGGGACGGACAGGGAGGCCGTGGAGATGGCGCGGTGAGTAGAGGGTGTGGGCAAGTGTGTATAGTGGGAGTGTATCTCTGCGTGTGTTTGTGTGCGTGTGTGCGTGCCTGTGTGCCTGCGCAACCCCTGTGGCACGATCACAGAGGGCATTGCCATGAACCGGCTGACGCGAATTCCAATACATGAACGATAGGGAGGCTGTTGAGATGGCCCGGTGAGTGTGTTTTCGTGGTGTGTGAGTGTGTGTTTTCGAGGTGTGTGGGTGTGTGAGTGTGTGGGGGAACCCCGTTGAGTGTATTTGTGTGCATGCGTGCGTGTGCGATGTGAGTGAGTGAGTGGGTAAGGGAGGGAGGATGTCATGTGATTGGCGGAGGCACTTGGCCCTGGCCACACGCCCCCACCCCCCCCTCCCCTTCTCTCCTCCCATTCCCTCATCCTCTCGCCCAAACACACAACAATGGTCTCTCCATCGCCTCCTGCTCTGCCTTTGATCTGTGCGGGCGTGCTGTGAGTGAGTGGCAGCGAATCTCGGCCCCGGACACACCCCTCACCCTACCCCACCCCCTTTCCAAATCCATTTCCCCGCACCTCCTCCAAACGCACCCACCCCTGTATTCCTCCTTTCCCTCAGCTACCTTCTGCGCAGCGACGGGCTCTTCATCGGGTCGTCCTCAGCCATGAACTGTGTGGGCGCCGTGCGAGTGGCAGAGAGGCTTGGTCCCGGGCACACCATCGTGACCATGCTGTGTGACAGTGGCTTCCGGCACCTCAGCAAGTTTCATAATGAGGGGTATTTGAGGGAACAAGGGCTGCTCCCCACTGCCAAGGGGCTTGAGTTCTTAGGCGGGAGATTTGCAGAGGGGGGTGATGTTTGAAGCGGGCACAGCATTGTGATCATTCTGTGTGACAGTGGCTTTCGGCATCTCAGCAAGTTCCATAATGAGTATGCGGATTTGAAGGGACAATCTCGCTTGCCGTCTGCGAAAGTTTCTGGGTAGGAGATTTGCGGAGCAGGGGTGATGGTGGTACAGAGCAGGCCACTGTGATACCCTATTGTGTCCATGCTGTGTGACAGTGGTACTAGTAAGCATCTCAGCAAGTGCCACGACGAGGGCTTTAGGGGCTAGGTGCTCTTGCTCACTGCAAATGGAATGTCTTTAGCAGCCAATTCTTTAGTGCGCACATGCACAGTTACAAGAACACACACAAGACAAGACATGCCCAGATCCCAAAGCGTCTCCTCCCTGCAGTGAACACTGCATTACGTGAAGTCACACCCGGTGATCACTGCACTACGTGAAATCACACCCAGTGATTACAGCACTACGTGAAATCACACCCAGTGATCACTGCACTACGTGAAATCACACCCAGTGATTACAGCACTACGTGAAATCACACCCAGTGATCACAGCACTACGTGAAATCACACCCAGTGATCACCGCACTACGTGAAGTCACAACCCTTGCATTGCACTTGCACCAAAGTGCTTCTTACGGGTATGCCACCTTTTTAACCTTCTTCCCACAGAGCACGTGCACGTTCCCTTCGCGTCCCACAACCACAATCTTTCCACTGCGCGCCGTCTCCGTGAGCGTTTGAAAAGCGGACTCTGAGATCGCGACCTGGTCGTCAAGGTACCGAAAGCTGTAACGCTTGCGGGTAGACTTGGGGTTTGTGATGTTCACAAGAGTGCCTGGAGAAGCGCTGGAGCCTGTGGCACAGGAATCCTGGTAGTCGACGCTGGGCAAGGTAGTTCCTCCCTTGATGTTCATTATCACTGTCCTAGTGACCACCTGGTATGACGTTGAAGAGAACCTGTTAACGGGGGGCAAGAGGAGATAATAATGAGAGAGCGTCGTTACAGTGTACTGCATAGGCGCTCCATCTGAAAACACCGCGTTGCCTTTGATTCGGCGCAAACGCTTGAAGACCAAGAAGAGCAGACCATGCAGACTACGTCTCAAAACCAGGGTTGGGCCTCTACTCGCACGACTCTCAATCTAATGTGATCTGATTTCAGAGGACTCGTTTCAACGGCACCAACTAGATGCATGCATGAGGTAGCATGGTACCAGGACTCCATAAGTGTTCTTAAAGTAGCATGGATGATGCATGCATGGTACCAACCACGCTGATTGAAGAAGCATGGATGATGCATGCATGGTACCACGCTGATTGAAGTAGCATGGATGATGCATCATGCATGCATGGTACCACGCAGATTGACGAAGCATGGATGATGTATGCATGGCACCACGCTGCCGAGCAAGTTCCAAGGCAAAAAACATAATCGGGGCAATCAACTGAGCTGGAAAAAAAAAGTACTATTGCGAGTGGAACAACTGAACGAGGGGGCAGCGGCGTACCTCACTGCCTTGACCGACCATTTCCCCCAAGCGCCTGCGTCACCAACCACTTTTCCGTTGACCACGGTGGGACGCAGATTGGCCAACGTATTTCACTGGCAACGGGAACGGGAGGGATTGGAAAGGCGAAAAAAATTGGTAGCTGCTGATTATGGGCTGACGATCATCATCATCATCCTAGAACGGAAATGCAAAGGATCGGGGCTGGCATGAGCGGCAATGCAAAGGATCGGGGCTGGCATGAGCGGAAATGCAAAGGATCGGGGCTGGCATGAGCGGAAACGCAAACGGAAATGCAAAGGATCGGGGCTGACAGCATCATCATCTAAAACGGAAATGCAAAGGATCAAGAAGGACGTGACTTACTGATTGTCTTTCCCTTATAAACCAGGGGCGTGGCAAGACCGGTAGAAGCGGGAGCAGCGGTAGTAGAGGAACCGTCGAGCAGTGATGTGGCCGACGCGCCGTAGGCAGTGCAGACCGCCGCACCTGCAAAGGACAGGCAGTAAGGCAGGCAGCACGATTGAGGCGTGATGTGGGGCCCGATAGGCGTGATGTGGGGCCCGATAGGCGTGATGTGGGGCCCGATAGGCGTGATGTGGGGCCCGATAGGCGTGATGTGGGGCCCGATAGGCGTGATGTGGGGCCCGATAGGCGTGATGTGGGGCCCGATAGGCGTGATGTGGGGCCCGATAGGCGTGATGTGGGGCCCGATAGGCGTGATGTGGGGCCCGATAGGCGTGATGTGGGGCACGAGCTTGAAACCTGCAGTGCAGGGCGGTACTCAGAACTGAGTCGACTGAAAAGTTCGCAGCAGCAGGGCTTACAGAGCAGCAGGTGGCAGAGGAGAGATAACGCGCGGCGCTCCATGATGCTGCTGATCTCAAATGCTCGTCAGCTAGTAGTAGAGTTTCGAAAAGAATCGCTAATGAGAAACCATGAGGTTCGTGGTAGCATTTTATAGTGTCTACATTGGGTTGACAAGTGCCTATAATCGGCCTGCGTGCACGAACGTAGTATGCGGTCCACGGGAGTGACACGTAGGCCGATTGTAGGCCGCTTACTAACCATTCCGCTTGTGACACCTAACAACTTGGTACCAGTGAAGATAAGCCTTATCAGACTGGAAGGACATCGCTCCGCCACTTCCGCAGCGCACTGAGGCTATAGCTTGCCCGTACTGTCGTGCTTCGCCGACAGTAAAGCTGCACTGACAGGTCAAGCGTGAACAGTGATTTCGCCTTATCCAGCGTCGGACGCTAGCGACCTGGATAGCCTACAATCGGCCCAGTCAGCGAGTGACACCTAACGATTTCGGTGCACGTACCCAGTGAAATAAGCAGGATCATGTCGCCGCGGGTCCATTCAACAACGAGTGGAAGACATCGCAGCGCCACTTCCCGTGGCAGAGCTGAGGCTAGTAGTAGCTTGCCCGCACGTCCCCTAACATGGCGCCGACATGCTGTCGCGTAAACCGCAAGGCCATGGCTGATCTCAGCTGCATGTGACGCTCGTCAAGCATGAATAGTAAAAAAGACTTGTTGTGAAGATGTCGGTGAAAATACAGTAAGGAGGACCACATGTTGTCCCAACTTGTGCACGCTTGCAAAGTTCTGTAGGCATGGAATGCAATAGAAAGTCAGCATTATACACCGAATGCCCATTACCGTCTCAAAACGTCGCACTACGTTTAGGGCTCGAAATGGACACAGCATTACCTCCAGGCAAAACGGCTTGTAATTTTTTTGGGAAAACGCGTTCGTTTTTTCCGGAACAGTGTGGGCCCTAGTTTTTCTGTACGCCAATTCTCCTTATTACCATGCTTGTTGACGGAAACTTTAAAACAAAGACATCGACATTTAAAACATTTCGTAACAAACAGGGCCAACAACCACATCTTCTTTTGTGAATGCCCAGCTTGTACATGCTTGCGGAGTTCTGTATGCATACAATAAAAGATTCCGAGATATGTATTTTTTTTCGCTTATACACTAATGGCAACATTAGAAGTCTTTCATGTTCAATGCATATTGTCCTAATATTATCTTAATCTGAGCTGGTGATTTTAACCTAAACATTCAACTAAATATCACATACTAAACGGTCCAGTTCAACCGTTATAATGCTTCTCAAGAATGTTCATTTACGCAAAAATTAGTGAGGTTCACAATCCATTCGATCTACATCTTGAGGACATTATTGCGATGTTAAGAGCGAAGCAATCAAAAGGCACATGCAATTGTGTGATATTGCCTAGTGTTACGATATGAAACTTTATGATAAGGCATTCTTGTATGCTGCAGGAGCTGACTCTACCGAGTACGAAGCCGAGGAGTCAGAAGAGTCGAAGCGACGCTGGTAACCGTCTGACCAAGACCGATGCAAGCAGAAACGCTTGAACTGAAAAGAGCGGGAAGAGGTTTGAAACGGGTTCCCGCGCCGCACGGTTTTTAAACTTCGCTGTAATAAGGGAATGTACCCCTTAAAGTACATGGCTAGTCTAGGTCGTTTCGTATTCCCCTGTATTCTTATATAAACTCGATGTATGCATGCGTTTAATCATCTCAGTCATTTACATTCACTCTGACCTGTCAAACTTATATGCTATAGTCTGTGTAGGCTGTAGTGGGGTAGTTCATATGGGGTACAACACTTTAGGGTTTCCTACTTGTACTCCTCATGCTGCTCAATGCAATCATTCCTCGTTCTATCTTTCACATGGTTTCAGAGCAGGTTCCCTAGTGGGAACGATTTTTTTTTGTGGCCCACCGTTTTTTTTTTTTTTTTTCCCTACCTGCCCGCTGTCGCGCCTGCCTCACCTGCGCCGTCGCGTGCCCTGCCCTGCTGTCGCTAGTCGCGACCCTGCCCTAGCCGCCCGTCGCGGCCCTGCCTTGTCGCCGCCCGTCGCGGCCTTACCCGCCGCCCGTCGCGGCGCTGCTTTGCCTCTCGTCGCGGCCCTGCCCTGCCGCCCCTCGTCGCGGCCCTGCCCTGCCGCCCCACATCGCGGCCCCTGATCTGCAGCCGCCGTCGCGGCCCCTGACCTGCAGTCGCAGTCGCGGCCCTGCCGTCTCCGTCGACGCGCCTGCTGCCACCGTCGCAGCCCCGCCGTCGCGGTCCTGCCCTGCAGCCGACGTCGCGCCTGCAGCACCTGACGCGGCCCTGCCGTGCCGCCGTCGCGCCTGCAGCCGCCGTCGCGGCCTCACAGTCGCGGCCGCCGCCGTCACCGCCGTTGCGGCCCCGCCGTCGCGCCTGCCCTGCTTGCCCCTGGTGAGCACCTGCCCTACGCGCGCTACCCGCGCCGCCTGCCGGCCGAGCCGGCCGCCCAGCCGAGCCGCGCCGCCCAGCCGAGCCGCGCCGCTCTGCCGAGCCGCGCCGCTCTGCCGAGCCGCGCCGCCCAGCCGAGCCGCGCCGCCTTCCCGAGCCGCGCCTCACTGCCCTACTGAGCCGCGCTGCCGTGCCCGCGCTGCTCCTGCTGCCACTGCTGCTTCTGCTGCTTCTGCTGCTACTGCTGCTACTGCTGCCACTGCTGCTACTGTAGCTATGGCTAGCCCTACAATTCTTACCTTCGATGCTGAGGGTCGTGCCGTTGACTTCAATGTCTGGGTCGATGATTTGCAGCTGTTTCTTCAGTGCGATAGTAAGGACGGAGTCTCTCTTTTTTATCTCACGTCCGGCGCCTCTACTGCACCTGCTGCCGATGCTGACAGTACAGTTCGCTCGCAGTGGACTACTCGTGACGCTGTTGCTCGCCTTGCTGTTCGTAGTCACCTGCCTTCTGCTGAGCGCGCGCACTTTGGTCAGTACAAGACTGCTAAGTCTCTGTATGACGCTGTTGTAGCGCGCTACTCCTCCCCTGCCACTTCTACTCTCAGCCGCCTCATGCTACCGTACGTGTTCCCTGACCTGGCCGCCTTTGCTACAGTCGATGACCTCATTACCCACCTTCGCACTAGTGACGCCCGCTACCGAGCTGCCCTTCCCTCCGAGTTCTGCGCCAAGAACCCCCCCCCCCCCCCATGTACATCACTCTCTTCTACCTAGTCACCCGTCTCCCTGACTCCCTTTCTGCAGTCAGGGACCACTTTCTCTCCCTTTGCCCCACCGAGCTCACCGTTGACCTGCTGGAGGAGCGCCTCACTGCAGCTGAGAAGGGTATAGTTGCTGTAGGTGCTTCTCGCGGCGACCCTCGCGCCCCTTTCTTTGAGGGGTGTTCCCCCGTTCCCCTTCTGCCCTCTGTTGCTTCTGCTGCTGCTGTCGACCTCGTTGGCACCGAGCAGGTCGGGGCTGCGTCTGCTCCTGGTGAGAGGCGCCGCAGCGGCAAGGGCAAGGGGGGCAAGGGTGGTGGAGGGGACGGCGGGGGCGGCGGTGGTGGCGGTGGAGGAGGCGGAGGGGGTGGGGGTGGAGGCAGGGGTGGTGGCGGGGGTGGAGGTGTCGGTGGTGGCGGCGGAGGTGGTGGAGGCAGCAGCAGCAGTGGTGGAGGCAGCGGCAGTGGTGGTGGAGGCAGTGGCAGCGGAGCTGGAGGTGGCGGCGGCGGTGGTGCTGGTCGGGGTGGAGCTGCGCAGCGTTGAGGCTTCGGCGGTCGCCAGCGCCAGCAGCAGCAGCTCTCCCGTGAGACCCCGTCGCCTCAGCAGCTTCGTGAGTGGTACGCTGGGCGTGGGAGGTCTGGGGGTGCTGGTCCCTGCACTTACGTTCTCCGCACCGGCGGTCGCCGTGGGGAGACGTGCGGAGGGCCACACACGTCGCAGCGTTGTTTCGGTCGCCTGTCTGACGCGTGGCGTGCGCAGTTTCCTGACGCTCCTGATCTCCCTAGCTGGGCTGATCTGCTTAGGCAGAATGTTGATATCTTTGCTCTAGACATTAATGCTATCCTTGCTGCCATGTATGCTGTGACTATTAGTGCTGAGGGTGACTGTTACCTGTGTGTGCCGCCCGACCCAGGTATAGAGTCTACTGCTCTAGGTGCTGGTGAGGCTGTTGCTCTAGGTGCTAGTGAGTCTGCTCCTCCAGGTGCTGGTGAGTCTGCTCTCTCTGGTACTGCGCCTGCTGAGGCCTTGCACACCTTCACACTTGACTCAGGTGCTTCCCGCTCCTTCTTTCGCGACAGCACCACACTCACGCCGCTCAGTCGGCCAGTTGCAGTCTCCCTGGCGGACCCCTCTGGGGGCCCCGTCCTTGCGCACTCCTCCACAGTCCTGCCGTGTCCGGCTGTCCCGTCTGGCTCACTGTCGGGTCTCCACCCCCCCTCGTTCTCTACGAACTTGGTGAGTGGAGCTGACCTCCAGGATGTGTGGGTTGACCAGTTCACCCCTGGAGGTCAGCGTGTGACCCACTTTACGTGCTCCCGGACTGGTCGGCACCTGGCCACGTTCACCCGAGCGCCTGGCTCGAGTCTGTACACACTGACCACTGTGTCCCCTCAGGTAGCTGCGTCGGCGTCTGCGTTTGCGTCAGGTCAGCTAGCGGCCCCCTGCTCGTGTCACGCTTTGTCGCACCAGACTGTCCTTTGGCACCACCGTCTTGGTCACCCCTCGGTGCAGCGCCTTCGTGGCATGCACCGACGTCTCCTTGTCTCTGGACTTCCAGAGACACTGCCTCCTCTCCCACCCTTGCCTGCCCCTCCCTGCCTTCCCTGTGTCGAGGGGCGGCAGCGCGCCGCTCCTCACTCCTCCTCGTTCCCCCCGACGACTGCTCCCCTGCAGACCCTGTGTCACCGCATATGCACCTAATGCATATGCAATAACAGTAGGATGATGGTGTAAGGGGGACTTGTAGTGGCTGTTATGGGAACATTAGCTATTTATAAAAGTATGAGTTAGGAATCAGTTGTAGGTGTAGAACGTAGGAAAGTTACTGTTAGGGAGGGGTGTAGAAAGGGGGAAATTGGATGAGAGCGGATGGGATTGCGAGGGAAAAGGCACCGAAGGGCGAAATAGGAAGCCAAGCAGTCCCAACCCCGAGCCGCACTTTTGGGAATGTGCAGCTTGGGGTTGGGTAAGGGCAGTCACAGCCAACCCCTCGATGCTTTCGTGCTGTTATTCTCTCATATTAGTGGAAAGCTGTTACCTCTGATCTAGCATCCGGTGGCACGCCACTAGGGGAGGACCTACTGGGTGAGGGAGGAAATTCGTTCATAACAGCACGAAAGCCCATCGAGCGGTTCGAGCAAATAGCATAGAATGGACTGCCACGAGCTGCGCTGCAGCGGACAGACTCGCGACGGGAAATCTTGCCGTCGCGGAGGATGCGCTCACGGGAGCATGGGAGATCACTTGCGCGTTCGCCACGGAGGGCGGCGTACGGCGCGGATTTGGTGACGCCCGTCGGTGGGCGAGCTGAAGGTGTCAGGTCGGAGCCCAGGATGGGCAGTGACCCGCGGGTTCTGGCAGGAGGCCAGCGCGGAACGGGTGTAAGGCGTCGCGACGGTGTGGACGGGGTAGATTCGTCCGATTCGGCAAGCGAGGCTGACGGCGCGGAAGAAGCAGACGGCGCGGAAGAAGCAGACGGCGCGGAAGAAGCAGACTGCGCAGAAGAAGCAGACGGCGCGGAAGAAGCGGACGGCGCGGAAGGAGCAGACGGCGCGGAAGAAGCAGACGGCGCGGAAGAAGCGGACGGCGCGGAAGGAGCAGACGGCGCGGGAGAAGCAGACAGCGCGGAAGAAGCAGACGGCGCCATCCCGATGGCGCGGGATGGTGAGAGGGAGGAAGTGGCGGAAGAAGGGCGCGACGGAGAGAGCAAGGATGCGGGAGGAAATTGCTCGCCGGTAAGGATGCGCGGAGGCGGCGCGAAGCGTCACGGGAACATGACGACAGGGCGTTCGCCGGAAGACATGCGCAGGGGAAGCGTGAGGCGCTGCGGGAGCACGGATGCAAACGGATTGGCAGACGAAGGGCGTGAAGAGGGCGCGAGGCACCGCGGGGGCGCGAATGCAGACGGGTTGGCAGACGAAGGGCGCGGGGGCGCGGATGCAGATGGTACGGTGGACGAAATAGGTGGAAACAGCGTGAGGCACTGCGGAGGCAAGGATGCAGGTCGCTCGGCAGACGAAATGCGAGGTGGCAGCGCAAGGCGCCGCGGGAGAGCGGATGCAGACAGCTCGCCAGAACGGATGCGCGGGAGTGGCGGGAGGCGCCAAGGGAACATGGCGGCAGAGCGTTCGCCAGAGGAGGTGCTCGAGGGAGATGCGAGGCGCCGCGGAACCGCAGTGGCAGGTCGCTCGCCGGACGATCTTCGGGAGGACAGCAGGAAAAACCATGCGCCAACGGGACGGTACAGCTCGCCTGAGCTGCGAGGACGTGGGAGGAGACGCGTGGCGATGGCCGCGCGGCGATCGCCAGAGGTGCGGAGGGAGCAGTATGAGCGAGGGAGACTGGCAGGTCAACGGGGGCCTGCTGTTTGGGGGAGAGAGAGACAGAGAGAGAGAGGTGAGGAGCAACGTGGGCGACGGGAGAGTAAGCCAGAGGAAGAACGGGGCAGACGAGCAGGTCCGGACGGGGAGCGAGGGGATTGTGAGGAAAGAGATGGGTGGTGCTCACCAGAGAGAGGAGGGGGGCGTGAGGAGGGACGCATCAGGGAGGGTGCACGACGATCGCTGGGCGCAACAAGGGCAGAAGTAAGGGGGAGAGGGAACCGACGGCGGCGGGAAGATGTGGAGCGAGAAAGGCGGTATCAGGAGCACTCGCATGATGGGAAGGAAAGGCGGTGGGACGGAGCAGAGAAGCGGAGAGCGGCTTACGAGAGAGAGCGAGGAAGGAGTCCGAGTACAAGGGGCCCGAGGGGGCGATGGCAATCAGGAGGAGGATCCGAAGGAGCCAGAGCGGCCAGAGAGGGGACAGAACGGGCGCTGTATGGGGCAAGCTCGGGCAGCAGGGGAACAAGGAAAAGGGGTGAAGAGAAGCAGAGTAGGCGACGGGAAATGATGCTTGCGCATGAAACGGAGAGTGAGGACGAAGGAGAGTGTGACGGACCTACGCGCCACAGGTCGGGCCGAAGGGAGGGGCGTTGGAAAGAACATTCCCCGGAGAAGAGGGAGAGACCAGGGTGGGGATCGGAGAGATATGGGGAGGCTCAAGAGAGAGGGGGGGGAAGGAGCATAGGTCCGACGTGGCGGAGAAGGCGGCAGCAGTCATGGGTAGGCGCTACGGGGGCAAGGGCAGCCAGGGAAGGAAGTGGTCGAGTGCTGTATGGGACAGGGTCAAGAAGCAGAGAGTTGAGGGAGAGGAGAGGAGAGAGTAGCAGGAGGAATGAGAGCTCAGGGACTTGGGAGACAGGGAGGTGGAGTGCGCAGGCACCACCTCAGGTGGAGGTGCCAGTGCGCTTTACGGGGGGAGCAGGGTCAGACACAAACCTGAAGAATTACCTGATGCAAATCGGTAATGTGCAGTACCGCTGCGACAGGAGTGGGATGGACCCGATAGAGTTTTTCTTGAGCCTACCGAACACGCTGGGAGGCGAAGCTGAGACGCTATATCGTATGAAGATGAAGGAATGGCTGAGGAGGGCAGAGGAGGAGGATGAGGACCCAACCACTCTGTTCTTAGAGCGGCTGCGGAAGCAGTTTCCAGGGCACACGGCGGAGAGGGTGAGAGAATTTCAGGAATTCCAGCGAGGGAGGGCCGAGTCACTGCTCACCTACTACGGTAGGTTGACGGATCTGGCGGAAGACGTGGTGTGCACAGATGGCAGCATGCTTATAAGCAAGTTCCTGGGGGGTCTGGATGAGGGATTGAGCGGCGGGCTGAGAATGAGAGTGTATGAGTTGGGAGCTGAAGCAACGCTGGAGGAGGTGTTTGAGTTGGCAGAGAGAGTGGAGCTGGCGCAGAGGCGGTATGAGGCGTACCTGCCGAGGGTGTTAGAGAAAGGGCGGCCCAAGTGGGCTGCAGCGATGATAACCGAGGACGGGGGTGGGGAGGAGCAGTGGCAGGAGAGGCGAGCAGAAACACGGACGTGCCACAGGTGCGGGCAGGAGGGGCATATCAGGAGGGAGTGCAAGAACTGTGATGTGTGCGGAAAGCCTGGGCACCGATGGAGGGACTGCCCAGATGCACCGAGCTGTGAGGTGTGTGGGAATCGGGCAAGAAACTGCTATGAGAAAGGAAGGGATGCAAGGAGATCACCCAAGGAGATCGAGGAACAGATCGAACAGTTACGATCCCAACTGCAGGCACTGGGAGAAAGAACTCAGGGGCAAGCGGGGTTGTACGCAGAGGAGGAAGAGGGGCAGGAGCCAGAACACTCTGGTGCGGTGCTACGTGGCCATGCAGACATGTGGCTGCGCAGTGGGGGCAGGGACATACGAAGGGAGCTAGTGAGTAAGGTGGGGGCATGGGCGTGTATGTCAGTAACACCAGCAGCAGCGGGAGCAGAGGAGCGGGACGAGCAGGCGGGGGCAGGAGCGTGCGTACCAGTAGCAGCGGGAGCGGAGGAGCGGGATGAGCAGGTGGGGTCAGAAGCGTACGTATCAGCAGCAGCGGGAGCGGAGGAGCGGGATGAGCAGGTGGGGGCAGAAGCGTGCGTACCAGCAGCAGCAGGAGCGAAGGAGCGGGATGAGCAGGTGGGGGCAGAAGAGTGCGTCCCAGCAGCAGCAGGAGCGAAGGAGCGGGATGAGCAGGTGGGGGCAGAAGCGTGCGTGCCAGCAGCAGCGGGAGCGGAGGAGCGGGACGAGCAGGTGGGGGCAGAAGCGTGTGCATTAGCAGCGGCGGAAGCGGGAGGGAAGAACGAGAAGGTGGGGGCATGGTCGGGTGTACCAGTGGCAGCAGAAGCGGAAGGGAGGGAAGGGAAGGTGGGGGCACAGGCGGGCATGACAGCAGTAGCGGAAGCGGAAAGCGGGGCAGTGAAGGTGGGGGCACAGGCGTGCATGACATCAGTAGCGGAAGTGGAAAGCGGGGTAGTGAAGGTGGGGGCACAGGCGGGCATGACAGCAGTAGAGGAAGCGGAAATCGGGGTAGTGAAGGTGGGGGCACAGGCGGGCATGACAGCAGTAGCAGAAACGGAAAGCGGGGCAGTGAAGGTGGGGGCACAGGCGTGCATGACAGAAGTAGCAGAAGCGGCAGGGAGGGAAGAGAAGGAGAGAGCGCAGGCGTGCGCAGCAGCAGCAGCGGAAACGGAAGAGGAAAGGAAAGAAGAGAAGTTGGGGGGCACAGGCGTGTGCAGTAGCAGCACCAGAAGAGGAAGGGAAAGAAGCGAGGTTGGGGGCACAGGCGTGTGCAGTAGCAGCAGCAGAAGAGGAAGGGAAAGACGAGAATTTGGGGGGCACAGGCGTGTGTAGTAGCAGCAGCAGAAGAGGAAGGGAAGGAGAGAAGTTGGGGCACAGGCGTGTGCAGCGGCAGCAGCAGAAGAGGAAAGGAAGGAAGAGACGTTGGGGACACAGGCGTGTGCAGCAGCAGCAGCAGCAGCAGAAAAGGAAGGGAAAGAAGAGAATTTGGAGACACAGGCGTGTGGAGCAGCAGCAGAAGAAGAGGAAGGGAAGGAAGAGAAATTAGGGGCACCTGAGTGTGTAGCAGCAGCAGCGGAGGCGGGAGTGGAGAATGAGGAGGGAGGATGGGCAGGGTGGACTGCAAAGGAAGGATCTAAGTGGACGGTGGGGGGGGGGGGCAATGAGCGGGCAGGGGAGGGAGGTCACACTCGTGACACAGACAGTGGGAACAGGAGGGGTGGAGAATGGCGTGGCATTGGTAGAAACCAGGGCAAGGTACTTGAAGGAAGGACTGCCGGCAGCACGGGAGAACTTACAGACAGTGCAGCTGAGAGATGCACACAGGCCAGAGGAGCGGCTGCAGCAGGGCTGCACCAAGCACAAGGGCGGTAGAAGGAGTGAGACAGGAAGTCTACCCCTCGGGGGGGACAGAAGGATACTCTGGAACAGGAAGTGGTGCTGGGCACACAGAGAAGGAGGGCGACGAATCTGAGGGGGCGGGAGTGCTGTGTCAGAGAGTGGGCGAAGAGAGAAGACAGGGGACCACCAATACTGCAGTGGTGAGAAGTACCCCGGCCTCAGCAAGAGTGTCCAGTGCCTCGTGCACGGGAGACCCGAGCACGAGCTCTGGAGGGGGCATGTGGTGGCTGAGGCAGAGAAGGGAAGGTATCACGGGAACAGGGCAGAGGGAAGAAGGGAGGGAGGATGAGTGCCGGGAGGAGAGGGCAGGCCATGGGAGGAAACAGAGGAGGGGGCAGTGGTACGAGTGAGGCATCTCCAAGAGGGTCCTGTGACATGAGCTCAAGCGGCTAGAGCACGAGCACAGGAAGGGGCAGCGGTTGAGTGAGGCTTTGCAACACGGAGAAGGGAGGAAGCAGAGAGACAGCAGGAGAAGAGCAGGTGCAGGAAGAAGAGCAGGAGCAGGGAGAAGAGTAGGTGCGAGGAGCAGAGCATGGGCTGGGAGAAGGAAGGTTCTCCGACAGCTGTCACCGCATATGCACCTAATGCATATGCAATAACAGTAGGATGATGGTGTAAGGGGGACTTGTAGTGGCTGTTATGGGAACATTAGCTAGTTATAAGAGTATGAGTTAGGAATCAGTTGTAGGTGTAGAACGTAGGAAAGTTACTGTTAGGGAGGGGTGTAGAAAGGGGGAAATTGGATGAGAGCGGATGGGATTGCGAGGGAAAAGGCACCGAAGGGCGAAATAGGAAGCCAAGCAGTCCCAACCCCGAGCCGCACTTTTGGGAATGTGCAGCTTGGGGTTGGGTAAGGGCAGTCACAGCCAACCCCTCGATGCTTTCGTGCTGTTATTCTCTCATATTAGTGGAAAGCTGTTACCTCTGATCTAGCATCCGGTGGCACGCCACTAGGGGAGGACCTACGGGGTGAGGGAGGAAACTCGTTCAGTGTGGTGGCTGAGGCAGAGAAGGGAAGGTATCACGGGAACAGGGCAGAGGGAAGAAGGGAGGGAGGATGAGTGCCGGGAGGAGAGGGCAGGCCATGGGAGGAAACAGAGGAGGGGGCAGTGGTACGAGTGAGGCATCTCCAAGAGGGTCCTGTGACACGAGCTCAAGCGGCTAGAGCACGAGCACAGGAAGGGGCAGCGGTTGAGTGAGGCTTTGCAACACGGAGAAGGGAGGAAGCAGAGAGACATCAGGAGAAGAGCAGGTGCAGGAAGAAGAGCAGGAGCAGGGAGAAGAGTAGGTGCGAGGAGCAGAGCATGGGCTGGGAGAAGGAAGGTTCTCCGACACCTGCACATGGACGTGTGGGGCCCAGCCCGCGTCCGTGGACAGGACCGCGAGCGGTACTTCTTGCTGGTCGTTGACGAATACACGCGTTACACCACGGTCTTCCCCTTGCGCACCAAGGGTGAGGTCCCTGATGTTTTGATCCCTTGGATCCGCGCTGCCCGTCTCCAGCTCCGCGAGCGGTTTGAGACGGACTTTCCCGTCCTGCGTCTGCACTCTGACAGAGGTGGTGAGTTTGCCTCAGACTTTTTGAGGGACTTTTGTCGTGGGGAGGGCATTCGCCAGACTTTCACGCTCCCGGCCTCACCGCAGCAGAATGGGGTTGCTGAGCGCCGCATTGGCTTAGTCATGGAGGTCGCTCGTACCTCCATGGTCCATGCGGCTGCCCCCCATTTTCTGTGGCCGTTTGCGGTCCGATACGCTGCACATCAGCTCAACCTCTGGCCCCGTGTCTCCTTGCCGGAGACCTCGCCCACACTGCGTTGGACGGGGACGGTTGGCGATGCGTCAGTGTTTCGGGTCTGGGGTTCTCGTGCCTTTGTCCGCGATACGTTCGCGGACAAGCTCTTCGCCCGTGCTATTCCCTGCGTCTTCCTTGGCTTTTTCCCTGACGCGCCTGGCTGGCAGTTTTACCACCCCACCTTGCGCCGTGTCCTCCCCTCTCAGGACGTCACGTTCGACGAGTCGGTTCCTTTTTACCATCTCTTCCCCTACTGCACTGCCCCTCTCCCCCCCCCCGCCGCTCTTCCTTGCACCAGGTCCTCCTCCGGTAGACCCCCTCCCCCCTCAGGGTCCTGCTCCCTCAGGTGTGTCCCAGGTAGACGATGTCGAGCCTGTCGAGGTAGCGGTTGACTCTGGTGCTGCTACTGGGGGTGGTGCTGCTGGGGGTGCTGAGCCTGAGCGTGCGGAGCCTGGGGGTGCTGAGCCCGAGCGTGCGGAGCCTGGGGGTGCTGAGCCTGAGCGTGTGGAGCCTTGGGGTGCTGAGCCTGAGCGTGTGGAGCCTGGGGGTGCTGCGCCTGGGGTTGCTGAGTCTGAGGGTGCCTGGGGGTGCTGAGTCTGGGGGTGCTGAGCCTGGGGGTGCTGAGCCTGCGGTTGCTGAGACTGGGGGTGCTGAGTCTGCTGGAGTTCCTGCAGGTGCCTCGTCTCGGCGGGAGCCTCTCTCTCCACCGGAGCTGCGCGAGTGGTTTGCTCGCCGCTGGAGACTCCAGCGAGGTGCTGCTGGAGCTGGAGCTGCTGGAGGTACTGCTGGTGCTGCAGCTGCTGGAGGAGCTGGAGCTGCTGGAGCTACTGGAGCTGCTGGAGGTACTGCTGGTGCTGGAGCCGCTGGTCCTGGAGGTGCTCGTACTGGAGGTACTGGAGCTGCTGGGGCTGGTGGTGCTGCAGGAGTTGGAGATGGAGGTGCTGGAGCTGTTGCTGCTGGAGGTGCTGCTGGAGCTGGAGCTGCTGGAGGTGCTGGAGCTGGTGGTGCTGCGGGAGTTGGAGCTGGAGACCCTGGAGCTGGGGGTACTGGTGCTGTCTCTGCTGTTTCTGGAGGCGCTGTGCGGCCGCGGCCGTACTACGTTCCGCTCCTTCAGCAGGTTCTTGGCCTCCCGCTTTCCACTGGTCCTCCTCCTCGCTTAGTGAGTCCACAGCCTGACCAGTCGCAGTCACAGTTACAGCCAGCCTCTCCACTGCCTGGTCCTTCTCCTTACTCTGGGCCGACTAGGGGTCTTACGGAGCGTCGTGAGCCAGAGTCTCGTCCTGCGTCCCCTGAGTCTCGTCCTGCGTCGCCTGTTCGAGCTGTCCGCACTGGTCGTCGTGTTTCGCGTCAGCGTCCTCCTCCTGTCCCTGGCACACACCTGATGGCACTTCGTCCTTCCACTGCTCCGCAGCGTGTCCCTCTGCCGTCTCCTCCTGCGTCCTCTCTTCCTGACGGTCCGGACTCGGAGTCTGACTCCCTTCGTGCTGCTAGTCCTACTGTCACGCGTCTCCTGGCCACTGTTGTCACTGACCCTTCGTTTGAGTCCACTGCTGCGTCTGCTCTAGTTGCTGAGCTTGTTGAATTTGCTGCCGCCTGTCGTCTAGACTACGCCGCTAGTCTTGTTGCTGAGTCTGAGTCTGAGTCTGTCTGTCCTCCGTCCGTCGGGGGTGAGTGTGCCCTTAGCACGGACGTCCTTGAGGACAGACAGGAGGAGTTTGAGTGCTTTGCCGCTGCTTTACCTCATCTCATGTCCATGCTGCTTGCCCCTGAGGGAGACCCGGATGCACCAGACATCCCGACCCCGCGCTCTTACGCAGAGGCGATAGAGGGTCCCTACTCCTCTCAGTGGCAGACAGCCATGGACGCAGAGATGGCTTCCTGGAAGTCCACAGGCACCTACGTCGACGACGTTCCCCCGCCTGGGGCATGTGGATTTTCAGGGTGAAGCGGCCGCCGGGTTCTCCGCCTGTCTTCAAGGAGCGTTACGTTGCACGAGGCTTCAGTCAGCGAGAGTTAGTTGACTTCTTCCAGACCTTCTCCCCTACCCCGAAGATGACCACTCTTCGGGTTCTGCTGCACGTCGCCGCTCAGCGTGACTACGAGCTTCACTCTCTTGACTTCAGCACTGCTTTCCTACAGGGCAGCCTGCACGAGGAGATCTGGCTGCGCCGCCCACCTGGCTTCACTGGGTCGTTTCCTGCTGGTACCCAGTGGAGCCTCCAGTGGCCAGTCTACGGTCTCCGCCAGGCGCCCCGTGAGTGGCACGACACACTGAGGACGACTCTTGCGGCCCTTGGGTTTGCCTCTTCCACTGCTGACCCGTCGCTGTTTCTACGCACCGACACCTCTCTGCCGCCGTTCTTCGTTCTCGTGTACGTCGACGACTTGGTCTTTGCTACTGCTGACGCTGAGGGACTCGCCCACGTGAAGTCGGAGCTGCAGAAGAGACACACGTGCACAGACCTGGGTGAGCTGAGCAGCTATCTTGGCTTGCGGATCACTCGGGACAGAGCACAGCGCACCATTACCTTGACTCAGTCACATATGGTGCAGCAGGTCCTTCAGCGCTTCGGCTTCACGTACTCCTCGCCACAGCATACTCCTCTGTCTACTCGCCACTCGCTCTCAGCTCCACCTTCGGACGAGTCCGTAGAGCCGAGTGGTCCGTACCCAGAGCTTGTGGGCTGCCTCATGTACATGATGACCTGCACCCGACCTGACCTTGCCTACCCTCTTAGCATTCTGGCACGCTATGTCGCTCCTGGTAGACACAGGAAGGAGCACATGGATGCCGCTAAGAGGGTGTTGCGCTACTTGTGCAGTACGTCGGGCATGGGGCTCGTGCTTGGAGGACGGGCTCGAGTTGTCCTCACTGGTCACGCAGACGCTTCCTGGGCTGAGGACTTGGCTACGCAGCGGTCGTCACAGGGTTACACCTTCAGTCTTGGCTCCGGCTCTGTTTCTTGGCGGTCTACCCGCTCGTCTTCTGTTCTCAGCTCCAGCTGTGAGGCTGAGATCTACGCAGGGGCCATGGCTGCACAGGAGTTACGCTGGCTCACCTACCTGCTGACCGACCTGGGAGAGCCGCCTCGTTCTCCTCCAGTGCTGTACGTCAACAACAATGCCATGATTGCCTTGTGTCAGGAGCACAGACTGGAGCACAGAACGAAGCACATTGCTCTGCGCTACTTCCTTGCTCGAGAGTTGCAGCAGTGTGGTCAGCTTCGTCTTGCTTACGTGGCCACTCGGGCCAACACTGCTGATGTCTTCACCAAGGCACTTCAGCCTTGTGATCATCAGCGTTTCTGTACTGTTTGTGCCTACTGTGCCTCACTTGCTTACTTCTTGACTCTGCTTGTACTGTGATCTCTATATATATACCTGCATGCTTACACTTGCTAGGTTGTGATCACTGTATTGCTTGTTCTCATATATATAACTCTGCATGTGAACTGGCCTTGTGGCCATTTGCTTGTGCTCAGAATGCGTGGTGACGTCGTGATCCACCCTGAGCTTGCTTTGCCTTTCTTGACTGGTCTTGTGACCTCTTGTTCTCCC